GGCCACAACAGACACCACTGCCACATGGTGTTGGGGCGGCCAGCCAGCACCTGGGCATGCTGGGTGCACACCACCCATGCTTAGAGACCTTTTCAGGGCAGTGTGCTGAAGGGGCACCCTGTATTGCTTCTGGGGGGCACAGGGAGCCTATGCAGTGTGTTGGGCCAGTCAGCCAGCTCACTGGTCATTGCTGGGATGACCAGCAGTGATGGGAAGGCGTCACCTGTTCCATCCACAGTGGGGAGGGCCTGGTGAGCCTGGAGGTAGCCTTCTAGGGTAGTCGCTGCTTCCATTGGGAGGGCGGCGCTAATGGCCTGCAGAAGCTGGCCCGTGGTGCAGACAGAGCGCAGTGCCAACCAGGCAGCCAGGGCTTTGGGTGACAGGGTCCAGGAGGTGCCCCAGGTGGGTGGTATGCGCTTCAATGAGAGCAGCCCCAAGGCTGGTGGAGGCCAGATGGCACGACATGCTGCAGGGCTGGGTTGTGGACCAGGGGCTCCTGAAGCACCTGCGGGAAACGCAGGCACCTGGCTTGGGGACAGAGATGGAAGGCAGCCTGCCAGGCCCTCACCATGCTGTGGTAGAATGGGGGAGGAACCGCCCCATTCAGGAAGGTGAGTTCCAGCATAAACAGCTCCTGGTCAAAGCCAAGGCCCCCGACTTGGTGCAGGAACCAGCATGCCAGCTGCCACCATGGGAGGTGGCCCTTGGCATACAGAAGTTGCTGGAGGGCTTGCAGGCAGTAGGCACCCACCCTGCTAGCCAGGTTGATCAGGCCCTGGCCCCCCTCAGTGGTGGGCAGGTAGAGGGCAGCTCGCAGGAGCCAGTGGCGTCCATCCCAGAGGAAGTCCATTAGGAGCTGCTGCAGTCTGTCGAGTAGCTCTGATGGAGGTTTCAGCACAGTGCAGCGGTGCCACAAGGTTACCACCACCAGGTTGTTGGTGATGAGGATCTGGCCAGGGTAGGAGACAGTGGGCAAGCGCCAGCACCAGTGCTGCAGGTGGGCCTCCACTCCCTCCACCAGGTCCTCCTTGTTGCAGGCTGCAAAGGTCGGCAGCCCCAGGAACACTCCCAGGGCTTTGAGGCCTTCCCGGTGCTAGGCAAGGCCCCCGGCAGGTCTGGAGGTGGTTCGCCTGCCCACGTCCCGAGCAGGAGTGTGTCACTCTTGCCCCAGTTGATGCAGGCTGAAGTGGCAAGCTCATAGGTGCGCTGGCAGTCCATCAGGGCCTGCACATGCTCCTGGCTGCCCAGGAAGACTGTCACATCGTCCGCATATGCCATCAGCTGGATCAGGAGGCCAGTGGTCAGGCCTGGTGCTGGTGGCAGGGCTAAGCCGGTCAGGCAACGTTGCAGAGCGTGCAGCAGTGGTTCGACGGCCAGGGCATACAGCATGCTCAAGAGGGGGCAGCTCTGGCATATGCTGCGATGCACTGGGAATAGGGAGCACAGCATGCCATTCACCTTGAGCAGGCTGGAGGCGTCGTGGTACAGGACCTGGAGCACTGCAATGAAAAGAGGCCTGAAGCAAAAGCCTCGAGGGTGCCAAGCAGGTACCCATGGTTGATTCAATCAAAGGCCTTCTCCTGGTTCAGGGAGACCAAGTTGACATCCAAGGCAAAACACTCCACAGCCATGAGCAGGGCATGCAGTAGAAACAGGTTGTCCTGGATCATCCTGCCCAGCACACAGTAGCTCTGCTCGGGCCTGATGACGGAGGCCATGATGGTACAGAGACGGTTCGCCAGTGCCTTCACCAGGATCTTATAATCGGCGCACAGAAGGGAGACGGGCCACCAGTTCTTAAGGTAGCTGAGGTCCCCTTTCTTGGGCAGCAAGGTGAGCACTGCCTGGTGGCAACTGGTTGGCAGGGTCTTGTCAGCGAGGCTCTCATGGAAGACACGGAGGAGGCTGGGCCCAAGGAGGGGCCACAAAGTTTTGTAAAATTCCACGGGCAGTCTGTCAAGGTCTGGGGCCCTGCCTGAGGCAAGCACCCCACAGCAGCCTTGAACTCTGCCAGGAAGAGTTTGTACTCCAGGGCCTCGACTTGAGAAGTGCCGAGGAGTGGCAGGTCCTTATACAGCTGCTGAGAGGCGTCCAGACAAACAGGATCAGCTGCAAACAACTCCTGATAGAAGGTGATGGCATCCCCCTGTACTATGCCTGAGTCCGTAAGCAGCTGTCCCTCCGGGGTCTTGAGATGGTCTAAGGTCTTTGCCATAGCCCACTGCCTCTCCAGGCCAAAGAAGCAGCCAGTTGGGGTGTCAGCCTCTGCCAGCTTCTGGCAGTGGGCACATACCCATGCACCCCGGGCCATGCCCTCCGCCAGCTCCCGCAGGCATTTCTTGCGGGACCAAAGGCTCTCGAGGAGTGCCATGTCATTGCCTGCATGGAGCAGGGCTACCTCAAGCTCCGCCAAGACCTCCTCCAGCTCCTGGGTGCAGAGGCGGCTCTCACTTGCCGTCAGCTGGGAATACTGCTGGCAGAATGCCTGAATCTGGATCTTCCCCATGTCCCATCACAGCTGCCAGGAGAAGCAGTCTGCTTACACAGCCTCCCAGCTCCTCCAGAGGTGGGTGAAGCAGTCTCTGAAGTGGGTGCCCTGCAGCAGGCTGATGTTGAGGCACCAGTAAGGGGCCCGTGTGCGTGCTCTGCCAGGCAGGCTCAGTTTGCAGCAGACCAGGGCGTGGTCAGAGAGACCTGATGGGATGATGCGGCTGCTGCGCAGTAACAGCAGATGGTGCTGGGCGATGTAGAGGTGGTCGAGGCGGGCCATGGCGATCCCACTGGCACTCATCTTTGCCCAGGTGTATTGGTGCGCATCAGTGTGGAGGACCCGCCAGGCTTCGACGAGATTCGCTGCCTCCAGCATGGTCCGCAGCTTGTGGGCCAAAGGCAGGTGCGGCTCTGGCCGTCAGGTCTAGCAGCGCATTGACGGTGCAGTTGAAATCCCCGGCCATGAGGAGCAGGTCATTGTTCTCACTGGTGTCATGCAGGAGGTCACCCAGGGTCTCTAAGAAGGCTAACCTCTCTCTCCCTTTGGTGGTCGCATAGATGTTGATGAGGAGCAAGCTCTGGTGTGCTAGGGTGACATGGATGGTCAGCAGCCAGCCGAGGACGACCTCCTGTGCCACCGCTGAGTAGTATTGCAGCTGCGGCGGGAGGAGGATCGCACTCCTGCACTGAGGTTGATGCCGTGGCTTACAAATAAGCGGCCTCTCCAGGCAGCGTGCCAGTCAGTTTGAACATGCACGTCGCTGTGCGTCTCCTGGAAGAAGGCTATCGCCAGCCACTTCTGCCACAAACCCTCCAGGACAGCCGTCCACTTCACCGGGTCCCTGCAGCCACTGGTGTTTAGTGAGAAAATTGTGGTAACCGCCATGAGCAGGAGAATAAAGAGGAAGGATAGGCAGGGTACAGGTGGGAGATGAGGTGACAGAACAGGGCAAAACCATAGAAACAAGAGAAGGCCTATCCTTGCCCTACCCTATTCTGTGGACCCACCTTGGCCCCACACCTCCCTCACCAGGTCACCGGAAGGCATGTTGACGCGTGCCCGGGTCCCGGTGCATAAACCTTGCTGCGTCACTAGTGGCACAGACAAACCGCACGGGGTCTGGGCACCATTGCCAGATACTCTCTGCCACATTCCTCTGGTCCTTGGTCTGCTCCAAGAGGTTGAGGAGGCCTCCATAGCTTGGGGCCACCCAGGGGGGGTTCTCCAGCAGGAGCCAGATGTTGCCGACCGAGAACCGGTGAAAGTGCCCTTAATGGCCAGGCTCCCTAGCAGGCCCCCCTCAGTATTTGGGTCAAAGACCATCTCTGGGAGATTGATCCCCATCTGCTTTGGGTGGGAAATGTCCTCCTGCTCCCGGGGCCGCTTGCAGTGCTCAGAGGGCAGGCACTCCATCTCCTCCTCATTGGCCTTGGTGGGCAGGGGAGTGGGCGGGGGGGGTGTTGTACGACCCTCTGTTGTCTCCTGTGCCTGATGCTGGGGAGGCAGTCACTCTCTCCCTGCCTTGCCGCTCACAAGCCCCATGAGCTGGGATGGGGGCAAAGGGTTGCCAGATGTTGCTGGGACACCTTTAGTCATGGCCTGAGGTGGCGGGGATTCCAGGGGGGCAGGTAGGGTGGGGTCAGGTTCCCTGGTTACATTTTCCCTGGAACTGTCAGAGGTGGGCCCCAAAGGGGCAGGGGCTCCTTTAGAAGCTCCCTTTTGTCTCTTGTTCTTAGCTTTCTTGGGAGCAGGTGGCACCACCCCTGAAGGGGGCGGGCTAGGCTGCTTGGGGTTTGCCACCTCCGGGTCCACCACCTCAACTGAGGCAGGGGTGGAGGGAGGTGGAGGGAAGGTCTCAGTTGTTCTACCCGGTGGGGCTCCAGTGTCTAAGACACTAGCCACCCTGGGTGGAACTGGGACGGGTGGGGGGACATCCCAGCCCCTCCACCAGGTGAAACCCCTGCACTGTGGGGGCAGCCCCATCAGGCAGGGGGAGGGTGGAGGGAGGCTGAGAGGGGGCCACGGTTACCCCAACCGGTGGGGTGCCAGTGCTCAGAGCACCAGCTGTCTCAGAGGGGACTGGAGCAGAAGGGAGGAAAGAAAGCAAGAAAAACAACAGAATAATTCATGGAAAGTTAAGATAAACTGCCCACCTCCAACCCTTTTACAGAAAATATATAGGTAGAGCTATTTCAAATATAATATTGTTCACATTTTGCCTGGAGGAATAGGCTGCTCTTAAAGAATTCTGTAACTTATTGCTTTGGGGAATTAAGAGAAAGTTAGTGATGAATATAACTTTCTATTAAGCAATTTTCTTTCTTTCTTTCTCAATTGTGCACAGCCACTTATGAGCCAGAACATAACAGCTCAATCAAACCTTATTATATCAGTTTTACTTGAACCCCACCGAAATGCACTGAGAAAATTCTGATATTACCTCAAGACTTTGAAAACCCTTTTCATAAATCATTTAAAAAACTTGAAAGAAAATGCATATTACAGATACCTTTTTGTCTTCTTTTAATTTCTTTTCCCATATAGCATGAGCAACAGGAATGTACTTGTTGTCAGTTACATAACAGTTTGCCATAAGGACATGCTGGAGTTCAGTATTGGGACTCATAGCTTTAAGGACTTTCTCAACATGACGTAGGGAGACTGTGGTCTCAGTCTGTATGCCACCACTTACAAGCTGCATAGTACAAGGTACTAGTGCAATCTGTCCAGCACAGTAGAGAACATCTCCAATCTAGAAGATAAGATAAAGAGAAAAAAATTAGAACTGTTGGGGAGTGGATGGAGAAGAGGAGGTTGGAAACAAGTATTTCCCTTTTCTAGATATTCCCTTGCACCACAAAACCATATTTGACTTTGCTACAAATGAAGCAAGTTTGCCAATCTAAAGGTCACTTTTGACAGAGATTTAGTTAGTCTCTAAATGTACGTACGGCATTGCAATAAGCTTCAACCTAAGAGTTAATACATGGATGGTCAAATGTGCATAATCGTCTTCAAATGAATCAGCTGTGAACTGATGAGGTAAGTCTAGAAATATGTAAATTTAACCTTTCACAATGTCACAATATTTCCCTGGCACTACTGAAAGGGTTTGTGTAAAGTTCCAAGTAAATTTGTTTACAGTCTGTCAACTCAGGTATACAGAAAAAAGTGGAACTTTCTACTCTTACAATATACAGACAACAGTATTTTTTTATAACTTTAAGGAAGGCATGCCAAGGTCATCATTCCCTGCAGTGCACCCTCTGGAAAAAAATAACTATGCTTTACTTTAAGGTTTGTTACTTTTGTTATAACATGTCAGAGCTCAAGCATGTTTCCCATGAATTTAATCAGAGTTGTGATTTGGTATATTTTATAACATTTAATCTTTGATTGTTTTGTTGTACTTTTATAATAGTTTATGTTTGACTTTGGTTTGCTGCTGCTTTTAATTTTAATTTATTTAGGTTTATACAAACAGTAAAATGTTCAAATCCCTAAAATCATAAAATACAACTTAACTAGAGGGCAAGAATAGAATTCATCATGACCAACCACAAAGGAATAGGAAATTGCAGACCAAAAATAAACTGAAGCGTGTTACTGGGGCTTACAGAGATACTTTAATAATCACTCAGAAATCAACTAGAATACTCCAAAAGCTCTCACTACTTGCCAGATATAATGTTCATACAGGGTGTATGCCACAAATGTGTGCTATTTTTGGGCTACAAAGTGGCTATTTTAGCTTGCTTTAGAGAAGCTTACCTGGCAACACTTGAAAGGACTTATTCTCTCTAGCACTGCTAAGGGAAGGAACCTGGGTTCCTATTATCCAGACATCTTAAAAACTTATTACAAAATCTTAAGATAAATATGACGATCTATCACATTCTTCTTCTATGCATTTTTTGAACAGCAAACAGTAAATGTTACTGCATATCAAGAGAGAAAATGAATAGAGAAGTGGGATGTACAGTGGGTGTAAGCAGCGTTGAAGTGAGCCGAAAAAGCATATTGCTGCAAGTAGAGAGGGGGAAAATGGACTGTGCAAGAAGCCTTTATGAGAAATTGTGTGGAACTTTTGGTATAAGCTGCATAAAATCCTCAGAAGGCTAAGTAAAAAAGAAATCTGTGTCCTGGAAGACACAGCAATCAAACCATGTGACAGACCCATATGCAACTCCAAATCTGTCCTCATAACTGTCTCTGTCTCACAAAAGACTCGCACATGTAACTATTGGAAGAGTATCTTACACAATTTGGCATACAAGTTCTATGATTAGCAGCTGAAGAGGGGGAGGAGGCAGAGAGGAAGCATAATAGATTAACTGACACCCATCAACTATCTTTTTAAATTGTTTAAGATATCTGAAATATTGTTTTGATAATGCTATATATAACCCTAAATTAAAAAAAAAAGAAAATGCAAGCAATATTTTGGTTAAAAAGAACAAATGGTCTTCCTTAAAAAAGTGCTATTTTAAAATATGTGCCATTGAACAAGGGAGTCCAGCCAGCTATCAAGTGGCATATTGACAAGATGAGAAGCAAATCTAGAAAGATATGATTCAGAGGGGCACAGGTTTATTTTTTAAAAGAGCCCTTTGTTCTCACCTTTACTAAGTTAAATCTTAGGAGAAGGCAAAGCCCCCAGGGCAGGTAATTTATATTCTTCTATAGAAAAATCTCCCCAGCATTATTTCTCCTTCTTCCCCTGTTAGGCCCCTGGCTTTACATGCATCACCATGTTAATTACTAGATAGACAGAAGAGCTGTTCAACCAGTTCACTTCCCCTATTCTTGAACAGATTGTTTGAGACATAATATGAATACTAATTAATGATAAAATATCTGTCAGTGTTTTGAAATATGGACTAAGATAGCACTTTCTTAAAGTCTCCTGGATAGTTCTCATACAATTAACCCCACTGGTCATAAGCAGGGTCAAAACAAATCTCTGAAAGATTTGAGCAAAACTGGCAACACTTTTGGCTCAAATTCAATGGGAATTATACAGAAATCTTTAAAAAAAACCCCCAAAACCAAAAACCTTTCCCCCTCTCTGTTCTTAACATACTTGTTTGCATGTTAAGACATAATTAATTGAAAAACAGTATTCCCAAGATGCTACCATGTTATAAAAAGGTGGGTGTAAGGGGGAAAGGAGGGAAAATGCACCAAAACAAGGACACACAATTTCAACAACTCTTTTGCAGGGGGGCATAACTTAAGATAAAAAGCAAAGAGGTTTGCATCTCTCTCTCTCTCTCTCTCTTTCTCCTTCCCAGTGTCTGGGTCATGAAATACAACTATCAATAAACGAGCAACAAGGGCAAAGTTGCAAGCCAGCAAAGAGCAGTGTTTTAGCAGGTTTCAGGGGGTTGTCTGTACAATGTTTTATGTACTATACAAAAAGGTGATAGCAGAGTAAAAACCCAACTAAAGCTGGGAAGACTCTATAATATTTTGTTTGCAGTGCTGAAATCATACAGCAGGAGATGTCACAATGTATGGTTGCAACCCTTTTATTGCACTAAAGCTCTATAAAACCCTGCTAAAACTTTGCAACAGTTTCCATATATTCACAGCATAGCAACTCCAGGGGATCAACATTCCCAATACACTGTCAGTGAAAACAGAAATGCAGTGTAATACCCATACATTCATATTCTATTGTAATAACTGAATTTACACTGCAGATTATTTAATTTGAATTCTTAAAAATATTTCCTACTTTAAAATGGGATTAAAGATCCGACAAACTAGCAAGTAAAAACTCCCTCTGTCTTGTCCCTTAGGGCTAGATTTTCCTCTTACTTATATCAACGTATCCCCAGTGTAACTCCACTGAAGTCAATGGAATTATTCTGGTGCATCATTATGATTCTATAAAGTTTTGCCTCTTATGCAGGCATGTGCACCTTTGTAGAATGGGTGCAAATTGGAGTTAAGCTATCACTCTAGCTGTTGTTTAATTTCACTTTACATAGGTATTAATGACTACACAAAGAGAAGACAGTGGACAGTGAGGGCTACTACATATATATTGCATCCTCTCAGAGCTAGGAATGCCAAGGTCTCACATGCGTTTATTCTCTTACATATGTTTACTGTGCTGCAATAACCATGCATAATATTGGGCCTGATCATGGTCTGTCATGTGTACCACTGCAACAGAGTACAGAATTTTTGCTGCCTGTTGCTTTGCTGCTCTCAGTCCATGAGGGTAAGTAGACTGTACAGCTGCCCTGCAACTCTACATTCCCACCTGAGAGCAGCAAAGGTCATGTTAGACTCCTTGCCTGGCTACCTCCAAAGTTGCACAACACTCTGGCTTCTGGCATAGTTATGGATGACCCTAAAAAACGATTTAAGTAATCAGAAACTGGTTTAAACCTGTAACAGAACAGAAGTTCAGTGCACCAGTTTCAAAATGGCTGAAAATGGTTTAAGATAAACCTGGCTGAATGTACATCAGACTTAACTTATTTGGGTCAAACCAGTTTATGAACTTCTGTCCAAGACCCCTTCCTGGTTCGAGTTAAATCACAGACCCCCAGCATGCTTTCCAGCCCTGGGCTGGGCTGGGCTGAGCTGTCTGTTCCACCAGGGAAGGGTTTGGAGATGGGAGGGGGACAAGGGGGAGGCAGGGACTGCCCCCTCCAGGCAAACCCCAGCTAGGGTCTGGGGCAGAGAGAGGGGTTAAACTTCCCTTCCCTTGAGTACAGAGCTGTCCTGCCCTGCTAAAAACTTACTGCTAGCTGCAACTGTAGACTACACATCCCAGAGGCACCTGGAAGCAGGAAGAGGAAGTGATGAGCAACCTTGCAGACTTAAGCTGTTGCAGTCTGAACTGCAAATCCCAGAAACCTCAGAGGCAACAGGAAGAGGAAGAAAACACACAGCCCATGCTGGCTATTTGCCAGAGAGCCATGCTCTGGTGCCCCTCAGCTTCTAGCCTGAGCCACTGTAAGTATTTCCTGAATCAGAAGTGAATGTCTGTGCAGTTGTTTCTCAGTTTAATCTATGCAGCTTAGACTAACCTGAAAAGACTGAACTGATTCAGCCTTGGGCTTTTTGACTGTCTGTACTTAGCCCTAGATGCAAAAAATCTTCAGTTCAGTACAAACACTTAATGTGATTGTAGTTCCTTTACTACTTCATAAGACAATACATATAATGTGTGTGCATGCGCAATCTATATAATGAGTGTGTGTGTGTGTGTGTGTGTGTGTGTAAACTAGAATATACCATTTAATGAAAGAGCTGAACCAGAAAAAAAAGAAACATTTTCAGCAGGGTATCTAGCTGGCCTGAATTTTGGAATTTATTTTAATTTTCTGATCAATATTCACCATTAATGTAAATCACAGTAACGTGAATATAACTCATACTGCATAAAGTCTCTACCAAACAATAAATAATACTTCCAAAGCACAAAGGCCAATGTTAAAGACTATCATTCTTTGAGTCAATCCAAAATTCCTCCTCAGAGGAGAAGTTTCCATGGCATTACATCTTCCTCTGAACATTCAGGGGCAAATCCACATTGTGGCAATGGCATCAGCAGTGAAATATATTATTTTTTCATACTTCTCTATGCAGCAAAACTGCTAGTTATTCAATAAGGAGAAGTTATGAGAAAGATATGAAAAAGATATAAGAAAAAATATGAAAAAAGAAGGAAAAAGGTGTATTTGAAATAATGCTTAACTTGGTATTTTTTTATGTTCTGCTCCACAAACT